TATCTCCTGCAAATGTAAACAAACTTGTTTGTCTGAGTGGTTGGCTGAACAAGAAGTAGGACTGAGTGGACTTGCAGGCCCCAAAATTTTACAAAAATAATTGGGGTTTGGAACGGCTTCCGTATGAGGAGAGATTAATAAGACTGGAACTTTTCAGCTTGGAAAAGAGACAACCGGGGGGGGGGGCGGGGGGAGGGAAGGGGAGGAATATGATAGAGGTCTATAAAATCAGGACTGTGTTGTGAAAGTAAATAAGGAAGTCTTATTTACTCCTTCTCATAACACAAGAACTAGGAATGACCAAATGAAATTAAAAGGTAGCAGGTTTAAAACAAACAAAAGGAAGTATTTCTTCACACAACGCACAGTCAACCTGTGAAACTCTTTGCCAGAGGATGCTGTGAAGGACAAGACTATAACAGGGTTCAAAAAAGAACTAGATAAATTCATGGAGGATAGGTCCATCAATGGCTATTAGGCAGGATGAGCAGGGATGGTGTCCCTAGCCTCTGTTTGCCAGAAGGTGGGAACAGAAGACCGGGAATGGATCACTTGATGATTACCTGTTCTGTTCATTCCCTCTGGGGCACTGGCCATTGGCCACTATCCTCCATGAACTTACCTAGCTCTTTTTTGAACCCTGTTATAGTTTTGGCCTTCACAACATCCTCTGGCAAGGAGTTCCACAGGAAGATACTTAATCACATGAGTAGCCCCACTGACTTTAATAAGAGAAGATAAAAAGGGTAAAAAGCAGCGTTGCATGGAGGAAGGAGACAAATTAAGGAGAGAGGAAAGTACAAGAGCTTTCCCTCCGACTGTTTAAGAGCCAGTCTCTATTATCTTCTTCAGAGACCCCTGGCAAAAAGTTGTTAACCTTTTTATTTTAAATATTAAAAACATTAAAATAAGCCAATTTTGAGAAGACTTACTAGTAAACATCAAGTTAAAAAAGTGACTGGCTGAAGCAAGCACAACACGATGAGCTGGGATCTTTCTTTCCTGTACCATGAGAATGACATCACAGAGAGTTTTCTAATAAAAAAGTAAAGATCAACTTTGTGAGAAATACACACAAGAATATTATCTTAAAAGAGGTTTTCAGAAATCCATTGCTTTCTCTGCTCTCCGGCTAGCAGGCTCATCACATAATGGTAAGGTAAAAAACATAAGAACAATTAGTAGTTTAGATACGCCAAACAAAGGTGAAGGGATGATCAAAGTTAAGGCTTACATATCAATCTTGGTTTACCCTGTTTAACAAGACAATAATGCACCTTTATATTGGAGACAAATAGATCACCCAAGCATCATCTCAAAAATATGCAAGTTAAAGGGACAGTTGTCAGTTTAAAAGTTTCCACAAAGAAATGATTTTTTACCTGTCATTGTCTAAGTAACATGTAAGATCACTGTTCTGAGAATTTTCTGTTTACTCAGTTTGGTTACCTGGTATATTTTGACAGCACTAAATGTCTAGTCAGACAGTTTTTCCCATTTGTGTGATCTTTCACACAGCGACTGGAAGAGCAAGCACCTGTAAAACTAGAAAAATTGTTGGAGCAAGAACAGTGTGTGGGGGTGGAATATATATAAATGAATAGAATTAAAGTTGGCATTCCTTTAAGACTGACTTTAAGAACATGAACACTGACTTGTGTCAGACTTCAATGGGACCCGAGGACATATAGCATCAGGTTCTTATTGAATTCACTAATATTGCTGTCTAGCATTAGAACTTCATTCTGAGGTACATGAAGTTCCCTTATTGCAAAAAAGTTAAACCAAAACAACCCATTAATAATAGAGTGGGAAGGAGGTGTGCATAGTCAGAACTAGATAGGGAAAACAGAATGATAGTTTAAATATCCGATTATCTGAGTTTCAGTCAGATCCCTAAATGCTCTTTTAGTAGTTTTTGATTCACTCAGGAAATAACACAGATCAGAAGCACCTACAGCTACAATAACAGATTCATAAAAATAATGCATATGTTAAAAAACCAAACAAACAGTTGAGTAACAAGTGTACACCAGAAAAAGTCTCTTTGCACACCTGTAGCTAAAAATACTTAAGCAATAAAGACCAAATTTGGTCTTAAAAAAAAACTGCTCCAAACTAACGTTACCCAGCACCCTTGTGTGTCACTGAAAATCTCAAGATAATCTGAGTAAGCATGCAGATTTTAACACACTTTGATGAGTCAGCCTTAGACCTGAAAGTGATGTTCAATCTTAACTACAGTGGTGCTGGTGCTCTGCTATAATAAAGCACCATGCACCCATATGCCAACACATTATTAATTTTTTTGTGTTGTGGCAGCAACTAGAAGCCTCAATCAAGAATTGGGACCTCATTGTGCTAGGCGCTGTATGAACATGTTTTGAGAAGATGTTCCCTGCCTCAAATTGCTTACAGACAAGGGATAGCACCATTCAGTGGCCTCAAATTGGTGCTGTGAGTGAATGGCACTCTACAGAATGAATTTCTGTAATTGTCTTTCCCTCCTCACTGAGTAATGGGCCTACCTTAACCCTGGTTTCCCTCTTGCTTCTCATGTATTTGTAAAATGCTTTCTTGTTACACTTTATATCTCTACCTAGTTTAACCTTGTTTTGTGCCGTGGCCTTTCCAGTTTTGTCCCTACATGCTTGTGGTGGTGTTTTATATTCATCCTTTGTAATTTGATCTAGTTTCTACTTCTTGTATGACTCTCTTTTGAGTTACAGGTCATTGATCTGGTTAAGCTAGCATGGTGTCTTACCATACTTCCTGTCTTTCCTATGCAGTGGGATAGTTTGCTTGTGTGCCCTTAATAATGTCTCTTTAAAAAACTGCCAACTCTGTTTAAAACAACCAACCAACTCCACAAAAGCAAACTTAATTCTAGGATTCAAGTGCCTTTGAGGTTGAGGATAGGAAGGTAGGAGAAGAGGTGAGAAGGAATAAAAGAAAGCAGCAGGAGCTGCAGGGAAAGAGAGGAGCCGCCTCTTATGTACCTCTCTAGCACCCCCAGGAGCCTGGACTGATTAACACCAGCTTCTCAGGGAGCTTCCTGTTTCCTTCTGCTTCCCTGAACCCACTTGAGGAGAACAGGCAGTCAACTGTAGTAGTAGGAGCCAGTTAGGCCCTTAAGACGCTGATATCTTCCCTCACTCAGGCCCTTCTACCAGCCTGCTTATTTGTCCCCTTCAATTGAGTGTTGAGAGCCACTATAGCTGGCACAGAACAGTCATGAGTGAAAGAAGAAAATGCCCCTCTGGGGCAGCATTCAGAAAAAGAAAGAAAGCAAAGGAAGCTTTTCTATCTAAACAGGAAGGAGCTCTCCTGAGATACATAGACACAAATGTTAACGGTGAGCCTCTGGCCCCAGTGAGGATGTGAGTGGTGAGGAGATGCCTGATCTTCCAGTTAGTCAGAGTGCAGGTGACCTGGCAGCTACTGCCCCATCCATATCTCCATCTCAAATGGATGTAACCATGCACATTCCTGAAGAAAAGGGTAGATC